AGATAGAAGAATCCTTGCAAATGTCATGTTTATGGCGGATTACAGGTACTAAGGTTAACGATTTTTTTGTTTTGTTAGCCGTTGGAACTATAAAGCATGACTGAAACTGAATGAATTCTTCTTCTCACTTCATAAATATTAATTTATTCATATCATATTGTAGAAACATCACTTGTTATATGACAATGATGGGATCAGTGAAGTAGCGCTAACGAAAATCAGTGATGCACTGAAATGTTCACGCTTGTTTAAACCAACCGTTTATTTGAACGATTTTCTCTAACATACCTTTAAACAAATTCACTTTTTGTTTTCTTCTTCTTTTTTTCGACCTTGAATTCATATCTTATTAGGAATAAAAGACCATCAAACACGAGACCGGTTCCATTGGACAAAAATATAAACAAGTTTAAAAAAGGGATTCAATTGATAAATAAATTAATGTATAATTAGACTGCTAACGGTATCCTCTTTTGTTTTGTTTCTGCTCTAAAGAACCTGTGAAGGGAACATGGTACATACGACTTAATGTTGTTATACCTGGATGTTCCGGCGTGGTGATGCTATTAATTGTACTGGCATTTGTTGGTGGTTTTATTTGCTCAAAGAAGAGAGATGGTAAGTCTTGTATTATTGTAAGAAGTCTTCATGCGTATGGTTTGTTTGTGTGAAGAAAACAAGCTGTCAAATTGTATTCTAACGAAAATGAAATTAAATGTGAATATGACACATAGTAGGAATCAGGAACAACGGACTGTTTTACATTGTTTGTTATACAATAACTGATTAATATAATGATAATCATTCCCTTTTATCCAAATGGCCTACACACGTAGTAACCCAGTATATCGTTCGTCGTATCGAAATATGTCAATCTTGGAATGAAAAGGAAGAAAGATTGTTGTAAGTTCATATGAACAGTAGGGCTGACAGTATTGTGAACCTTGTTGTTTGTGAACGTGGTGGAAATCGTCTCGTTTTAGATAGCACCATGAACGGGTGACGTTATCATTGACGTCAAAAATGAAGTTAACAATAACTATAGGGCTGCCGCATATTATAATAATATATAACAATGGTATGATAAAGTGAAGGGTAATACTCCAAATACCCTAGATACACAGCACTTCTTGAGTAGTATAAGTATCGCCGAAAGAAAGAAAGACAAAATATAAAAAAGATTTTTAGGTGAAGAAGACCAATTGATTATCTGCCCAATTTGTTTTGATTCGTTACGTACTAAAATCGGACCATAATGTTATTGGCACCTCAAAATGAGTTTTCCTTTTGTGATTCACTAGCAGAAGGATCATCAAATCCAGCTTTACAGACCTCTGGAAATCTAACAGATGGTGAAACATCTCACACCAGCAAGCCAACATCAAAAAGCGGTGTTAAGGTGAAGAAAACTTATCGATAACCTTTCATTTGAATGTTTGAATACTTCAGATATTTAGTAAGCAAAACACTCGCAAGAATTGTTAAGAATAAGGACCCATTACGGAAAATTCAAAACTCAGTTTAAAGTCTAAAAAAATCATGTTCGGATGATGCATTGAGGTTATTGTTATCTCTTCACATGAGATAAATTTATGAGATAAATCAATCTGGGATTTTCAGTGGTTGATTGTTTTTACAGTGTTTGGTCATTTTAATTGTTTGTTTATTTCTCGGTTTATTTTGGTCGATTTGTTATTGTTTTAACTGATTTTAAACGACGATGTGTGCAACCTACCTCTTGTGCATTAATCAAGTAAAATACGGTTTGTTATTTTACTACCATTCACAATATTGTCCTTTATATTTCTCTTTCGTTTTACAGTCTTTGGACATGAATTTTGACCTATCAGACTCCACATACGCAATTCCCGAGGTTTCCGAAGCACCCAATACCTATATGGCCCTAAAGCCTATAAAGAAGTACAAATCCTCAGCTAGTACTAGCCAACAAGTCTCCCACCCCAGCACCCCAATTGACGATCATGGTGATGATGTACTTTTCGTTAGCCCCTCTCTCGGCCGCAAGCAAGTGAAGGCACACTCCAATCTAGAGGAGGAACTTACTTATGTTAACACCAAAGGTGGGCCAACTTATTGTGAAATTAGTACAGATATTCAAAACATTATTAAGGATTACACTGACCAATCAGACCTCACAAATGTAATTCCAGATTGTCCCGAAGCAACCCATACCTACATGGCAATGAAACCTATACTAAAGAGCGAATTCCGAGCTAGTAATACCCAACATGTTTCCAATTCCACCACCTCAGTTGATGATGATCATGATGCTGTACTTAACGCTAGCCCCACTTTCGTCCGCAAGCAAGTGGAGGCACATTTTAATCTGACGGAGGAGCCTACTTATGTGAACACCGAAGGTGCGTCAACTTATTGTGAAATTAGTACAGATAGGCGAAGTATTGTTAAGGATCACACTGATGGTCTTGATGATGTGTTTACAACTTATCTCTAAATAATGGGAATGTAAGTGTCATTTAGTAAAATCAATGTTAACTACCACATTATCATTATTTCCAGTTTGTTCAGTAATGAACACAATGTACGAATTGTATCTTAATCATAACAATGATGCAAATAATATGAATTATTACGGATATTCAAAACTTTGTTGACGAATAAACTGATCACATGATTATGTGTTGGTTAGCGTAACTGTACACAAAATAATTTAAAATGTTCATTTGTTACCTCATTCCTCTAATCGATTAAACAAGATGTTTACACCCCTTTTCTCGGCATATACAAAATACTTTAATTATAGTAATGCTACGAATTATAAAAATTTCAAGAGCACGTGCATAAAACAAAGATTAAATTTGGTTTGTGTATATTTTACTTTTATGTTTCACTCACTTTTTCTGTACGTTATACAAACACCATGAATGCAAAGTGTGCATGTTTTGTTTTGTTTTGTTTTGTTTTCTTGTTTGTTTGTTATTTTTGTTATTTTTTATTTAATTTTTTTTTTTTTTTTTTTTTTTTGGGGGGGGGTGTTTATTTCAATATCTTGTTCCACACACTTTTCGGAATCTGATAAAATGTAAACATTATATTTTTATCATAACCAATAATAACGAAAACAGTTACATTCATATAACATTATTGTGTGTGTACTATTCATGTTAATAAGATGTTAACCAATAAGGCATTCACTATAAAACATTTAAGATAGAAATAGTTATCCTTCACACCGGAATACTTAATAAGTGGTTATTACAAATAATTTTACATCAGCGTTGTATATGGTACTTTATCGATATTTCATTTTCACATTATCAACAAACTATAGTTCGATGTACATATAAAAAGATTGAAATAATTCATGTACAATTTAGAAAGAAGTAACATGATAAGACGCAACACAATATTGTAATGTGTGGAAGATCGAAATGAGGAAGTGTATAAAATGTATGAATTAGGTGTTATTATTATACCAACGCTTACATTTGCCTAGGACGTCCTGAGTTTGCGTATGACAAGTAAATTGGTAATACAAATTGTGAAATAAAACAAACGTTTGTCGCAATCATTGTATCAGAGACTGGCATGTGGAACTAAATGACAAGTATCACTTTCCTTTATGGAAGTAGAATGATGGTTTTGAGTACTTTATTGTTTACCAAAATTATAATTTACAATTTGACGTTGTCTGTTCAAGTATCTGATATAATGCCCGCCCCCACGGGAGTAGGTCACGGGAGTGGGGTATACATACCCCCGACATACTTTTATGTGTAATAGCATATTTAAACGAAGCTTAATATATTACTTTTACAATTCTGACCTGGTGTCCGTATGAGCTCTTTTAACCTTATTCTTATTTTTCGTCATACTGGATATTCGTTAGCCAATAGAAAGCCGGGGGCAGATTCGGGTTTGTTTAATACATTTTAGCTGTACCAAAAAAATATGTGCGTACACATTTATATAGGTGACTGCAATATTAGTGAAAAAGGTTTGTTTTTATAAATGCTCTCAAAATATTAGTATTAGGTAAGGAACCTCTTAAAATGTGAATGTTTTGTGTGTGTAAATCTCACATCCAGCGCAAATAGATCATACTCCCTTTTCTCGCACCATATTAATACGCAACTACTTGTCCTTGTATATACGAATTGGGGCTGATTGGTTTCGATATAATAAAGCGAAACAACGATAACTTAAATTTCTATTTGTTATCAAATTCTCCGTGAAGATACATTTTGTCGATAATTGCCATGAAAAAGCGTGAAAAGGAAAATCATTTTATGATCATTATAATCTCGAGTTTCAATGATTGTTGTAACAATTATTATTAATCAAAGGAAAAGTCTCTCATATCCGTTGCAAATAGGAATAAAGATGAGTCGCACGTCCTAATTTATGAACCAACATGCATTCAATCACCTGTATACATCATAAACAAATATAATTTGCATACATGTAAACATGCACAGCTACTTTCATGTCAAAGGAAATTAATTGATGTAAATCAAATAAGTGATTGATATATTGAGATAGGTAGTATCATGAGGAATGAAAACCAATTAGACTAAGAGAGAACTATATGTATGCATATTTATTATAAATAGAGTGTGTTTCTTTGTCATAGTGAATGGGGCGATTTATTTCAAGCACTGCTGGGTATATTTTAAACCTTTCTTTTTTTTGCATACTTTCTATGAAGTAATAAACTCTATTTAATCACAATTCTCAGCTGTATTTCGACAAGAATCATTCTTGTGAATGAATACAATAAATTGTATAAAACCACGCACGGAATTAACAGTATTTGTCTGATTGTAATGCATTACAAATGTATATGAAACTTCTAATATGCCGTCTTTAGTAATGTTTTGAATTATTATTATTTACTGATACTACTACGATTGCTTTTCATATTCTTCTTCTTCTTCTTCATCTTCTCTTTCTTCTTCTTCTTCTTCTTCTTCTTCTTCTTCTTCTTCTTCTTCTTTTTCTTCTTCTTCTTCTTCGTCTTCTTCTTATTTTTATTGATGGTATTATCATTATTATTATCAAAATAAGTAGTTTAAGATTCAAGATTTCATATTAAACCCAAACATTTACTCATTAATAATGTTTTGTAGATAATCAGAAGAACAAAATGTACAATATACGAAATCAGAATAAGAATGAACATTATTATACTAAATAACAACATACAAACATATACAATTTTTAGGGCAAATCTTATCTCATTCCAATAAATGTTGATTTTAGTACCAGTTAAGTTGAATAGAAACATGATCGGTGCAAGTTACACAAAATACACAAATGATAAATAATTGGTTCTAAGAAATTATTTGGAAGAGTGAAATGTTTCATGAGACAATTGATATTCATTGAATCTACATTAAAATATTTATATAAGAAATCTTAGAAGTGATACGATCCTACATAACGAAAGTGAATATTCAAACAAAAGATGACGACATCACTTTAAAATAACAAAATAAAAGTTGAAAAAAATCACACCAGACATTATGGATTGAATTAACAGGGGTTAATGTACAAATGATTATATACCTACCAATATGTAAAAAGCTGAACTAAGTGACCTGTTTTATTGCGGTAAATTACACTAAGATTAAAGATATAGTTTTAGAACAAGAAAGAGCAGTTTAATAAGGATGCTGAAAATATATAGTTCAAAAGCATTCAAAGCATTCATATATTCCATCAGAAATGGAATAATAAACTGAAATGATACTTTGTTTAGAGTGGCATACATTCTAAAAATATCATTATTGTAGTACGAAAACAATTAGTATTGGATTGTATTTACAATCGGAATTACGTTTTTAGATAAATTAACTTCTAGTAGTAGTAGTAGTTTATTGATAACGTTAATATTGTTGTTCTGATTTTAGTAATTTAAAATGATAATCATATACATGGAATCAAGTTTCATTTTGAAGCAGACTGTTGTGTGTGCTAAGAAAATTATGTCTGAACAAAATTATTAACCATTTGACCCCTATTCCAAGTCAGGTATATCAGTGTAAATATCCTCGTCACTCATCCTGTTCAGGGAGAGATAATCCTGGCAATAAAAAGGGAGATCAATATATATGTGTCATCTTTGGTATAATTACAATAGGAAAGTACTTCAGTATCATTACGAACATTCAATGTAAACTTACATAATTAAATCATTGGTGATTTTTTTTATAAAAAAACATTTTCCAAATATAAAAACGCGATTAGATTTTTAACAAATATGCCAAAAAAGGGCATAAACGGCTGACAGTATGAATTGATGTTGGAATTTTATTCCTTCTGATATATAATAGAAAATCACTTATTAAATGGTACGTAAAGTGCTATAAATAATGTGTCAAGCCCCACTGGTAGTATTTCTATTAAGTGGTGTCCTGAACAAATAAACTAACAAGGAAGGGGGAAAGAAGGAAAGGAAGACAGTAAGTTGTCATTATTTTATACAAGTTTCAACGAATACGATTCATTTCAAATATAATAACCACGGTAATGAATTTAGTTTCATTTTTGGAGATTACTAAAAATTGATGTATATATGTGTGGGAGTGTTGATATGCACCTTTGCAAGTCAAAACAGTCAGATGGGAGACAGTTGCAACAAACGGAAGTGAAAGCTCATGAAACTTGAATAGCTCCCACTCATGAAGATTATTTGTGGGAGATCTTTAGGAGCTCCATGAATTGACCTTGTGCCACAACTGTCTCTCTCTTCTATTTGTTTTGTTCCAAATTATGGCCTAGTAGCGGTATCAGTTCAAATGGGGAGCGGGGGGGGGGGGAGGTTTGAGCAACAGTGAACTATCCCCCGCCCCGTCAAAAAAGGAACGAATAAACGAATAGCCCTAAAACACAAATATATATTGCTGTTGAATGAATATAAGTGCTGCACATATTGAAAATAAAAGCAAATACTCCAGAATCCCCAATAAGACTGTATAAAAGACAGGCTATTATTATTATTGTAGTAGTAGTATTATCCCGCCCAAAGTATGTTTTATTAGACTTACATTTGAACCCTCGAGAATCCAACCAATTTTGATGTGCATGTCATGAAAGGTGCTGCGTTGCTTTATGTCCGTCTTCCAACAGTCTGAAATTATGTTGAACCTGTCCATATAGATTCACAGAAAAGTATCAATGCTTTTGTTTAGTAGTTCAAAACATTATTTGACACACCAAACGCAGGTTGTTTAAGTGTTTTTTTTTTCCATTGTATTCCCACCCAATACTGTAAACCAGTAACACGAAAAAAGCTCGTACACTCAGGGCGCACATGTTCTGTTTAAGTGCTGAACCCCTCCCCCCTCCCACCCCCACCCCCAACCAACCCATCACTATACAAATATATAAACTAAGAGCCACAGAAACAAACTGTAGCTAATAGTTTTTATCTAAGCATTTGTTGTGTGTAAAAAGGCACTGTAAAATAGACCTTGCTTTTTATTTTGTTATTACGGTATCATGAGCTATTAGCAAGTCATGAATCACCACTGCGTCCCCGCTATATTGCATGTTTCTCCCTTACATGGTTAATGTGCGAATCTTATTTATTCCTTATGTACTATTCTCAATATCTAGCTGACACATAGAAAAAGGGTGAAATTAGCCAATATTGGGTGAAACAAGAACAAATTAACAATTATTTTTTTGGGATGAAACCAGTTATATTTGGGTAATTTTTATCCAATTTAGAGAACATTTAACTTTGCTTTTTGATAAATTTTGCCTAATATAGTGAAGCCTTTTTTCAGACAAACATGCATGTCCCCTCCCCCTCCCACAGATATCGGGTACAAATGAATCAATTGTTTTTAGAGTGAACATTTCTGATTGCAGTAAATAAAAGAGTTCCCATTTCCACTCCTCGTGATTTATTTTGTCACGCAGCTTATTTATATCTTTAGATAAAATTGAGAATCGTTTATTTTTAAAATACGTTGAAATGACAAACGGCGTTTCCCTGAAGTAATCATGAATGCGTGCTTTACTGTTACCTCTAAATAGTCAACAAATATTCTTAACAATGAAGATAACAGTGTCTCCCTTTAAGGTTCTTACTCCTATACATCATTAAATTAAAAGTTTCGCTTTCTGCCAGATAGCTCAAACCTAAGTAGATGGATTTTCCAATAGAGTCTTCAACACTGGTTGAAGGGCTTTAGAGAGAAAGAGAGAGAGAGAGAGAGAGAGCTCAATGTGACAGAAGCTATTTTCGTCTAAGAGATAGAAACACATGACAAATAACCACACCAGATACGATTTAAACATAACCCGCACCAAATATAACTGGTTTAATCCAATTGCTTTTTTTCAACTCATGTTGCTTCTGTTTCCACACAAACACATCGTGGGTTTTTATTATAGAAACATAACTTATGATAGATTTACACCTGACTTGTACAGTGATATGTGTCGAGTGCGGCCATCAATGTAGCAGTACAGTATTTACCATAGATAGCATCATCCTAGGCTTTTTGTATTATTTAGAGGAAACATAAATTATATATCTTAATGTATAATATATTACTTTATTTTCATTCATCAATAAGAATAACAAGCTGGGTTCTAGTTATTATATATAATTAGACACACGTTACCTAAAACGAAAATCAAAAGTCAATATATAAAGTAAAGAACAAACCAAAAAATGAAGGTGTTAGGATGCGGAGATGGCTACTTACAGATCTTCACCACAATGTAGCGGCCTTCTCATTATATATCCATTCGTGATTCGTTCTTTCAGTTCGCTGTCACTTACACCTGGATATGGTTGAGCACCTGATGAATAACAACGAAACTGAAATATCATTTTCAAGAAGAAAATTCAAGATGAAAATAGAAATTCACCTTGGAGAAGTTCAAAAGACACATTTTGGATTAATGTAAGATTATATCAGATATGAGAAAATCATACATTTGTCATAGCTTTGCAACAGCAGCGTAAACATAAACAAAATATATAAATGATGATAATTCTTGCAGGGGCTCAAATTGTTTTGGCAAAGAAAAGTCATAACTGTTCTAACAAGGCTATAACAAGACCCTGTGTGCCACATATCTAACTCCTTCAAGCTAGATAGGGATACCAATTTGATAATTTGGTGTTGGGTATGGGTAGGTGCCCTAGACACAACTTGAGAAGCTCTATTAGATATGAATGTTCAGTTTGGCAACACGTCGATCCCTATGGAGTAGGGACGGGGAGGAAAACAGACAAGGGAAGTTACATCCCGATTGTGCTACATAGCATTGATACTAAATAAATGTTAGTGTGTGGTACATTAATCATCAATAGACAAGGGCTATCAGGCCTATCGTAACGAAAATTCAAACTCTAACCAAACATAATCTTAATCATACACCCAAACCCTAACCCTACCCCGACCTTTCCGATACGCATAATGTAGGACCATCTTAACTACAAACCATCCTTCCTTCGGTAGGGTATATGGTCATAACGATAGGAAAACGGTGTGGAGGTTAACATGCCAATCAACCAGGATGAGACTAGTGTACTTGGAAAAGAAAAGGAAATGAAAACGGATTGGAAGAAGTAAACTGAAAGGAAGAAGAAAATGTTAAGGAAGGGGAATAACATTTCCTTGGTATTCTCACCAAGGGTAACAAGCTCCCAAAGAAGAACCCCATATGACCAAACATCACTCTCTGTCGAACATGTACCGGTCAGCATGGCCTCAGGTGAGAGCCATCGATGTATCATCTGAAAACAAAATATAAACTATTATATATATATATATATATCAATGTTAATAGATTGTTATTATCTCTTTATTGTAACCAAAACTGGAGGTTGGATTTCAAATACAAGCAAGATTACAAGCATAAATACAGTGCGTCCCATTATACAAAAAGAAACCGAGAATTATCGATGTTTCATCATAACTTCATCACGATTGTAATCAGTAAATGACACTCTTCTTTCATTTGATGTAACTGATATGATGCTTGATGCATATACCACACATGAGTGAACAAAATAAAATCAATTTGATCAAAGAGTACCAAAAAGTCATTTGAGGAGTGATATCTGAATTTAAAAAAAAAAAGTCACATTCATAGAAAGTTCACTGTCGGCACTTACATATGACACCTCAATCAGGAAATATGTGCTAGAAATAATAAAGTTCTGTTTGTTGAAAGCAATGCTTGCATTTCCATAATTATATTTAGCAAATTCGTTTTCACTGGCTGCCGGCCATTTATTAATTATAATAAGTTATGATAAAACATCGATAATTTTTTTTTCGTGGAATGCACTTTATATAGGTGTATGTATGAGATAAGACATTTTTTTTTAATTTGTGAACTTTTTTTCTTTTTAATGGTAGCAATAATGTACAGATAGTCAAGACAAGACACTGTCAAGTCTGATACGTGAACAAATACATACCAAACTTGCTTCGACTAAATTATTACATATAATATAAATCAAATCAAAGTAAACTCATGAGTAAAATATTTCAAAATGATTGTACATAAAGTCAGATTGAATTGGGGTATGAGTATCAACCAAATGAAAAGTTTATAATGTAATGTTAAACATAGGTCCAACACATAACATAGATTCAGAATCGAGTGATGGTATGGTGTATCTTCTGTCGAGAGACAGAAGGATGTTAACTCATATTCATGTCATAGACTTACACACATGTAATTGATTGAATGCAGTTGTCACCTAACCCCCCCCCCCCCAAAAAAAAAAAAAAAAAAAAAAAAAGTGAGTGTGGAGAAAGAAATTTAAGCAAACCTAAATGTTCAATCGTTTGACTTAGATTTAGCCCTATGTCGAATAAAGGGAATAATGTGAAAGAATGAAAGAGAGGGAGAGAGATAGGGAGACACACGCACACACACACACACACACACGCACACACAAACACAGTGTGCGCACTCAAAAGTTTTAACTTTGCAGCAAAAAACTAACCCAACGGTGACTGACCCGATTATTGATTTTAAGTCGAGAAACAACTTTAAGATGTGTATCAAGACAATTACCCTCTGGACAACCACCCCCGGAAAATTATCACCCAGAAAACTACCCCAAGGGCAATAACTTCCCGGAGAAATACCCCACAAATTCACCCCCCCCCCCACCCCCGTCGGATAACAAAGGACAGTCACCCCAGCAAGAGATCAGATCCAGTTTGGCCAGTACGATTTTACTATTTCAAACCACGGTTCCTCTAGGCAAAACTATCGTTGTAGATGGTACAATTGACCAGTGCAATATTTCAATATATATTCCACTTTTTGACAATATTCGAACGAAAATATTGGGATCAGTTCCTTTTTGTTTCCTTAAACGACTATAAGCATAGGAAACGATTGGAATAAACATTTTTAACATACTGGTAATCAACCTGTTATTTCAGCTTTATCATCTAGCGCCATCTCTCGATTGGGTAAGTTTTAGATTGAATAAAAGGGTGATGCAATATTGTTGTGTTTCCAGAGAGGAAATGAAAATGATACTTAATTAAGTAATATGAAATAATATAATATATTGTATAACATATTGAATTACAATGTAATTACACTGTAAGCATCTGTAATGTATACAATTTGAAGTATGGTTATATGAATCTCGATACAGTAAGAAAGGAACAATTGTTCGGCATGTTATTCTTATCCATGAAAGAACAAAAAAGAATGGAAGAATAAGGTCGAATGCACATTGATTCATGGTGTATTATATTTCATATATTGGTTTACTTTGTTCCAAGATATCAAAGAGCCTTTTAATTTTTCGACAGCAAGGGATCACAATGTAACCCTCGTTCTGTTGTCACTTTAGACTAGCATTCTGGGATGCTATTGAGTATGTTTAAGTTGGGTAAAATTTTCAAATTATCAGTCGCAAAATACTGCAAGACGATGTATTAAAATAGGGAAATCATAAAGAGCTTGGAAATTAATTTGAAATCACAAGTATATAATGAACATAGATGATATCAGAGCTACAAGTTCAAGGGTTCTGATACTATTTTGCTTCAGCTAAAACGCCACCAATGTCTATTATTCTTGTCGTAATCGTTCAGAAATGTATAAAACACGTTGATAAATATTCATTCCGACACCATCTAAAATATTTTTAATTCAGGAGAGATTTCATTGTATACTTAACTTTGATGTCTGGGTGATGCCAGTCAAACCGTGGTCTGCTATTTTACAATTTTTTTTTTTCGACAATAGGACGTTGCTGGCACGCAGATTACCGTGAGCGATATGTTCAGATGATAAATTCGAGTACATAATATAATTTATAAATCATAAGCAATAATGGAATGACATAGTTGGTCTGCAAGAACAGTGCACAGGCAAATAGATTAATGTGTCCCATATGATGTATTGTAGCCTGATAGCATACAATGATAAAATATTACCCAAACTATAAATATATCGTTTGTTTCGTCCCCTTTAACTTTGCTAATGAGAAATTATTGTGACTTTCAACAAAATCGATAAGTGACAACATCATATTTTAAAGAAATTATATGTATAGCGAGAAGGAGAGAACTGCCGTTAATACGATTTATACCAGAAATTAACTAAGGGTAACCTTTTGTTGCGGGATTCGAATGGGTGAACTAAATTTCCCCTTTTTTCAATTTTAGTAAGCTATTTTTTGTTCATCATGTTTGCAAGAAGTGATTGAATTTAAATATATTCCGTTGATTGTTTGGTCTCATCGGTGATTTTGGTGTCAGCGACAACCTCTTAAATTGGAAAAATGGCAGTTAAACAACTTGACATTCGAGTGCACCAAGGAGTTATTTGGAAATATTCAACTTCAAGATGATTTAACTTTGCATTTTAATTCCCCTTCTGTGAGGACGGGAATGCCATACCCTTCGCAATCTGCCAGGCAAACGTGAACAGGTCTGATTCCTTCACCCTTCTTACAACGGAGCGAACATTGGCGTAAACCCGGTACGATGATCGCGTCTTGCCTGCATTAGTCTGTAGGTACGTCAGAAGAGTGCCGTAAAGAACGTACTCATAAACGATGAAAGCTGCAAAGAGAACCAATGGGTGCTACTGATTAATTTAATATCAGGAAATATGCAACAGGTGGCAGAGAAGGTAATATTTATCAAAGTGGTTACCGAATGAAATATATTAAAATAGTTATAACTTTTTTGAAGTTCCTTGTGGTTGCCCTCGCTCTCCAAGAAACGTATTTTAGGTGCTTTTCCTTCTGTTGCTGGAAGGTTGTGGACAAATTTACCCACCTCCCTAATAAACAGCTGTGGAACTGGAACTCTTTAAGAAACTTCTGTATGACTTAATTTTGTATTAGGGAGCCCGGATAAGTATACGTTTATATTGGGTACCTGGTAGGAATTTATTCCTTGAAATGCTAGAGTGCCGTATGGCAGCCGTGCTAAAGCCAGGGTAATAATCGAGGGCGCCAGGAGGGTAAAATCTGACTGACATGAGCGCTATACAAGAACCCACTATTATTATTATTATTATTATTATTATTATTTATATTGGCTTCAATGGTGCTCTCCCCTTTTTTTAAGCGGTCCTTATAGTATGATATGGAGCGTATTGTGAATCGCTTTGTAACCCCGCAGGGAAAGAACGGTATTATCAAAAACTCGGTGTATCGGATAACATGGGTATGTACAGGATGTGACGCCATAATGGGTAATGACAGAATGGAACGTCAATATTAGTTTTACTAATACTGTTATAACTAGTATTAGAAGGGTTATTACTATTACTAGTTGAGTG